TCTATAATATATCTTATCGAGACATTTCATCTTATTTTTGACTATATTCAGAATTTAAAAATTTTGTAACGTCTTTATCACGCCACTCATATATCATCATTTATTCTTTATCTTGCCTTAATCTTAACCACTATTATAACGCTAAATTTATTTTTATGATTGCTGTTGTGAATGTGTAACTAAACGCATCCAACCGCACCAAATACAAAACAAATTCCAAAACAGTCACTAACCATCTATTTTCTAAATCCTTCACCGCCTTCTCCGCGTCCTCCTCCCTTACAAACTTCACGTAAACGTTTCCAATCATATGTTCTCCAATATTCTCACACACATTCATCTCGTCTATTTCACCGTATTTCGTTTCCAGTTCCGTAAAAACCTGGAAATTTGCATCCTCTCGATAGCAACAACAACAATAATAATAACGATAACGGTAAAAACACTCTAATAATAATGATACGAATAACACAATAATAACGATAATAATCCTGATGTAATGATGTAGTATCATCACTACTATCACATTTAACATGAATGATAACTAAAGAATTTTCGACTAATCTCTCAGAGAAATAAGCTTAACTGTACAGAAAAACACACAAAACACATACCTCTTCATAGAAATCGTCGAAATATTTCTGCTCTTGTTCGTTCTTCTTACCTACTTCTGAACAGAAACATCATTAATTCAGGAGAGAGAAATTTTTTCTAGTGAATTAGATTTCAAAAGACGAATGAATGCTTCGTGCGAATTTCGTATAAATTTTGGATTGAAATCTGAAAACTGAACTACCAAATTCAAGTGAAAATTATACGAAAATCAATTGGAAAATAGACGATTCTTCAAAAACCAACTATCAAAAGCGTCCGCTTGACGCAGATCCACGACGGGATTGTGATAGAAATTCTGAAGGAGGATTGTTGGCGAGAAAGTCGGTCGATTATGAGTCCGCGAACATTTATCACCATGACGACAGGCGCCTATCTGAAAGAACGAAAAAGAAATTAATAAATTTTCACGAAAACTTCGGCAGAAACAAATGTATAGTGATGTTCATCGAATGAAAATCCATCAATACAAGCAATAAAAATCTATTTTTCACACTAGCAAACAGCAAAATCCCTCCAAATAACGTCATTCCTTGTTCAAAACTATCAACAATCCCACAGAATCTAACACAACTCTCAACGGTTCCGTAGATCGATGCTAAATACTCGGCACCGGACAGACCCTCGGTGTGCTGATATCCGGTCGATTGCGGGCGACGAAACGACGACATTTTGCGGAATCCGTTTGGCTTACGGCGAAATCAAATGGCGACTCAATAAAGAAGATAGAAAGGAACTCGTCGAGGACCACTAAAACGAAATACATCTATCTAGGCAAGAAAATCAACATTATTTTCACATCAAATCACACCAAAATTTTGGTTTTACGAAAGAATTCTCACAATTTAAAAGCAAACAAATGAGAAAAATGAAATGACAAATAAAAAGCAGAAATATGAAAAAAATTCCGATGAAAATCAACCACTTATACGCAAGCATCCTCTGAAAACTAATTAGATACAAGCATCATCTAAATTTTTTGTGTTATACGGCGGAAGTGTAATCCGTCGAAGCACCACGTTTCTGGATTAATTATTCACGTCATATAACCAACTGAACGGCTGGCGATATGAGGAAATGAAAATAGGGCATCTTTCACGAAAATGTTAGAATGAGAGTAAATTAGATGTGTGACTGAAGTGATTGAGAAAATTTTTTATGGAAAGCAAAATAAGCATGCGGTTCGGACAGGAAGGTTTGAGAGGATGAAAATATCACTTGAAACAGACATGAAAATTGACGAGTGGGCATGTTTAAAGAGACAATTCCATGGCTATGTTGCGAGTTATTCACGAACATTGCTTCACGATACTAAACTCTTGCCTAATAGTTTGTCGTCTGCTCTCATGTTTGTTACCAATAGTGTTTTTCTACTCTCAAACCTTTCATCGTTAAATGCATGCACCCACCACTGTGTCACGTTATATTTCTCAATCTATTCAGTCATACTTCCAAATTCCATCGCATTCCCAATTCTCTTCACAAAGCAATTCTCGATTAATTTCTTCATATTACACGCACAATTAACTGAAAACCGTTTGGTGATGACTAAACGCCACAGCACGCAAGTTTGCCAAGAAGATAGCCTACGGTTTTGTATTGATGGCAACTGAATGAGGTAGTTACGGCATCCGATAATTCCGGTTGGAGTTCCGGCATTAGGATTCCGATCGAATACATTTCATATCGGTCGGAATCCGAATGCTGCAATTTCGATCGGATGCCATCAGTAGACTGAAGTTAGGCCAGCAAAACCGGATGGATTTAGATCGGATTCCAACCGAATCAAAATTTCGTTCAGTTACTTATCATCCTTATCTCTTCGAATTCAATGGCATATAATGCGAAATGCTGATCTCAGAGAATGACTACACTCAGATATAGCTATCTGCAATAGCAAGCTTCTGTAATTTCATTATAACAGGCATGTATACCTGTCAAGAAAAGATTCACCGTTCTGGAAATATATTCATGATACATTTTCAGCAAGCATTTGAGCACTTCAATGCAGTCAGTTCCTTGTGCTAATCAACTCAGCTACACATAAAAAACCAATGCATTACTTTAAAGGAATTGACAAATTACGCAAATTTTATCGGTTGCATAATTTTGGAGTTTTGTTCGATGATTTTTTAATGCTTCCGTCTTGTCCTGAGCTCAGGCATTAGCAGATAAACATTCACCACGGTCATACTATTCAGAATGGAACAGAGGTCGTTTTGAAGGGCATATGATGGGTTGGATAAACTCGCTCATTT